TGATCTTTAGGTTAAAGTGTTTTAATGATGATGTGATCAAAGATTCAAAGTTGGTTGTTGAATTATCCTATTTGATCATGTGAAGGTAGGTCCCTTGAGATCATACATAAATACCAAATCAAATCACAAGATAAAAGGTTCACAAAAGAAAAGAAAAATAAAACTCATTATTCCAACTGCCTGTCCTTTTTTCCCAGCTCCACCGATTGTTTAGTTAATCCACATAAAGGAAAGCAAAGGAAATAATGGTAGTAAAATCTTGGGTGCACGTGTTTCTTGATGATGTCACGTGATGCAAAGCTTATCGCGTGATAAAGGGCTTCGGTCGGGTGGGCAGTATAATCTCATATCTCGCCCATTAACCCCACCCACACCTATATTAGATCCACCATTTTTTTTAAAAAAATATTAATTATATAATGGGTGACCTTTTTTTTTTTTGGCATACGTGTGATAAATTTTAAAATTTTTTTATTATTAATTTATTTAAATCGTTTATGCTTATTTTTGTTATTTTAATTGACTTTATGCATATAAAAATGCTATATGTGCTTACTCGTTTATTAATAATTCAAAATAATATAATTTATACAGTTGTGTTGGCTGTCTGTATGTGTTGGCTATTTCTCATGAAGTAAGACAAAGGCTGGAAGACAGGGCCTAAAATGAAATCAAAGACCATAGAAATTATAAATCCAGAAAGAATCGAACATAAAGAAAAAAAACAAAAAAGAATAGAAAGAGGGGAAATCATGAAGGAGAAGAATTTACTCTTTCATCATGTCATTTTCTCTTATATGCTGCCACTTTGATTATTTTATTTTTTATATTCTGATTTTTTTCGATGATTAGGTGACCAAATCATGATTCGTTGGGCATCTTTCTTTAATCTCAAACCAAGATTTATGAATTTATTGAGAATTATGTCCATGTAATTTCTTCTCAATCACTAATGTTGTTTAACAAAGATAAGAAGCGCCAATGAGAAGTTCGCCTAGTGGAGCCATTATTGAGATTTCTTGTCTTCCATATTGTGAATCTTACTTCATATTGTCCTAGCGCTTTATATCGAAAATGGACACAATGTTATTGTCTAAGAAAACCAAAAAATTGGAGAGTTAAAGTTAGTTGAATGGACAGAAGGTTCATAAAAAAAATAAAAAAAAAAGGGGATGGAAAGAAGTTGAGGAAATATTCAAATAAGGACATAGAATTTACCATTTTCTTATTTAAGGGTAATAAGTTTTTAAGTTTTTATATTAAGTAGTAAACTTTCACTTTAATTTATTTAAAAATACGAATTTTATCATATTTTGATTAAAATTACTATTTTTCATGTTATTATTACCATTCAATAAATCTTTAAATTAAAAAAAAATATAAAGCTCATATTCTTATTTTGAGAAAAATGAATCTTTACTACTTAATTTAAAAATTCAAAAAATTTATATCTTAAAAAAAAGTAAAATTCATATCTCCATCTGTACTTTTTCGTCCATAGAAGTTGTAAAAGACAAACATAGTCATCCAATTATGTTTTAGGAAAAATGAACCTTTATTGTCTAATTTAAAAATTCAAAAGGATTATTTTAGAAGTAAATTTGAGAGTTGGAACAAAAAAGGTACGAAAGAACTGTGGACCATTTTAGTACAAAAGTACAAAGTTAAGGGACTTTAAAAAGATTATTTAAACCCTCAAAAAAATTGTCCCCAGTAAAACGCAATAGGGCATTTACGTAAAACCATCGACAAGAAGAATAATAAAGTAATTAATTACTTGTACCAAAAAATAAAGTAATTAATTACTAAAAACAATTCCTCTGCATTTAATTGTCCTAAACCGAATCGACAGTAATAAGAGCGAAGAAGTCTCCAGGCTTTGGCGGGATGTCTCTTCATCTTTTTCCAAATCTGAAAGCCGATGTTTCACCTTCAAACACACCTCCATTTCACCTTAAAATAATTCTCTCTTAATTACTCTTCTTTATTTTAACCCACTAACTAGTAATCTCTCTTTCTCCCCATAAATCATATGACAAGGAAGTTTAAACGATTAAAAAAGACCCAGAAATCTCTGACCTTTGAGCTGTTTCCTGTGTGGAGTAAGGCTATCCACAGAGGCTGCTCTGTAAACATTTCCTGATTTTTCTTCAACCTCAAGCACCTGCAGATCCGGACCTAGGTAACTATTCCCATTGCTGTTCATTATTATTTTATTAATTATTCTGAGAGTGAGAGTCTGTAAACGTCTGATTTCATCGGCTGGAACTTCACCTGTTCTTGTTTTTTCTGTTCATTTTCTTGACGTTTTCTGAACTGGGTTTTCTTGGTTATGATAAATTATTTTTGTTTTTTCCATTTTCGAATCTGGGTAATTTTTGGTTTGACGTTTAGTGGACGAAAAACAAGGGGGGTTTGTATTTTGTTTCATATTTGAGTAGGCATTTGATTGTGGATTCTGTTTTACTCTTTTTCTTCTTTATCTTTTTGTGAAAGTCCCTGTGAAAATGGCATTTTTTCGTTTTCCTTTTGTCGTTTTTGGAAGTTAATTTTCAAATTTACTGACTTTTTTGTTCTTTATTTTTATTTATTTTACATTCAGAAGGATTTAGATCGGAGAAGTTGCTGGTGAACAATTTGAACTTGTTCCTGGTTTTAACTGTTTTGGGGGACTTCTTGCCTCCTCGAACAAGGTATGTGCAGGAATTAGCTCTTTATGTCTTTCTGATTTCGTTGTAGCTCAAATTTTCACTTGCATTACCTTCTCCTTGGATCTTGTGTTTGTTTTTGATGTCAAACTCTTACCCTAAACTGTAGAGCTAAGTTGAGGTTTTAGTTTCCATTCGTTTCGTGAGGATCTGAGTTCACTATCATTTCATTGCGGGTTTTACGTTCTTGTGTCAAATTTTCATTCTTTTTGCCGATCTGTCTCTGTTAAACCAGTTTACTCTTGCTATGTTTTTTTGTTTAGTACACTTAGTTCTATGATCTCCGTCTTACCATTTCTTGAGAATAAATGTTATGGGTTCCAAACTTCAATCAAATACTTCGCTTGCTTTTGGAACAAGTTGCTAATTAGTCACGGCTATGAAGAATCTTTGTAGATAGGATGCCACAACTGTTGTGTGATGCTGCTAATGATACTTTGATTTAACAGTGATGTCGAGGATCACCAGGTGGAAGATTGAGAAGACAAAAGTAAAAGTGGTATTCCGGTTACAGTTCCATGCTACACATGTAAGTTGACAGTTGTATAACTTCTACTTTTTATTTTGTTGAAGTTATTCTCATATTAGTCTCCTTGGAACTATGATCAAAATTGAGAGCGTTGGTGGATAAATAGAATGTACCTAGCAACAGCAGTACATAGAATGGAACAATGTAGATTGTTAAGTGAATTAGAAAACTGTATGATAATGCCACTGCAATGAAGTTCAATTTGATGTGACTGGCTTTAATCATCTAGTTCCTGCAACTGGCACATTTAGCAGTCATACCTCACCATATTAAAATGGGGTTAATTCCAAAGTTATAAGAATCTCATATGGTAATTGCTTGGAATTTAATATTTTGTTTATGCAGTACTCATTAAGATCTATGCAATTGACTATGTGCACATTTCCCTCTCCACAATTCAGATTCCACAGACTGGCTGGGATAAAATCTATATTTCTTTCATTCCTGCTGACTCTGGAAAAGCAACTGCCAAGACAACTAAAGCAAATGTGAGAAATGGGACTTGCAAATGGGGAGATCCAATCTATGAGACTACAAGACTTCTCCAAGACATTAAAACCAAACAGTATGATGAAAAGCTCTATAAGTTTGTTGTTGCGATGGTAAATTCTTCCATTCCAACTCCAATACTCAATTTTTGTTTTTCTTTATTGTGATTTAAAGTTGAATTATAATTTCTTCTTTTCTGTAGAAAGGTACTATTTTCTTGTCATACTGAGATTTAATGTCTTTCATCTGAATTATTATCACATAGGGTTCCTCACGATCTAGCATCCTTGGTGAGGCTACTATCAATCTTGCTGATTATGCTGATGCATCAAAGCCTTCTGCTGTAGCATTGCCCCTTCATGGTTGTGATTCTGGAGCTATTTTACATGTAAGGACTTCCAAATTTCTTCTAGCAGTATTCGGCAAAACTTTTTATTTGGTTTCAGAGTTTGATTGGTCATATACATCCTTAGCATTTGAGGTTAGCATGGTTTAACTTATACTAACAGCACATGGAATACTTTCTTGCTTGTTCTCAAGGATTTTTAATTTGCCACTTGAGATTTTTTATATTTGTTTTATATTTGACTGATCATTGACTTTCTATCCAATTCCAGGTTACCATACAGTTGCTGACGTCTAAAACTGGTTTCAGGTAGTTTAAAACATCTAAAAATTCATGCTTCATCTATTTTCAGCATGCTAACGTGTAACTGCACTTGGTTTCAGAGAGTTTGAACAGCAGAGGGAACTTAGAGAAAGGGGATTGCAGGCAGGGACTGATCCAAATGGTCCTGATCAATCTTCCATTGGGAACCTAACTGTAGAAATTGCTAGTCAAGTGGATAAGGTTCAGTCATTTATTTCTTTGGATTTGGCAATTTATTTTACATATTTATGTTGATGTCCTTCGGTTTGATTTTGTTTACATCGGGCTTCATTAGTAATGATAAACCTTACAGAGAACATTTGACACACATAAGTTAATGAATAAAGCCAGTCCTAAAGAAAGGTTTTGGTATCTGGTATTTATATATTCACTCTCAGCTGGGAACAAAAGATTAAATTTGTAAGGCATTGATTTATTTCTTCTGGTTACAGGTAAATGCAAGGGTTAGATTCAAAGAAAAATTGAAAGAGCACCATTTGATTGAAGAAGATGTAGGCCTAACTGAAGAATATGCAGACTCGGCTGTTGGGTTTGATGGCTCCTCAAATACTTCAGGAAGTTTGTATGCAGAGAAGCATGATACATCCAGCACTCATGAAATTGACAGCCTGGGAAATACCGTCTCTGGTGATTTAGCTGGACTTAGTCAAAGTCCTCAGCAAGAGAAGGGAGACCCTTCTGAGTGCCGGTATATGACACAGGGTACCAGCGATTGGGTTCATCACTGGAGTTCAGACTATTCTGCTGATAATGACTTGGCAAGCGCCTATGAGGAGAATGGTAGACTTAGAGGATGCTTGGAAATGGCTGAGTCATCTGTACATGAACTCAAGGTCGAAGTTTGTTCCCTACAAAATCATGCTGAAGAATTAACAGCTGAAACACAAAAGTTTGCCCAGCAACTGGCTGCTGAGATTGCCTCAGGAGAACAGTTGGAAAAAGAGGTATCTGTGTTGAAATTAGAGTGTTCAAAGCTGAAAGATGAACTTGAACAGCTGAATGGTCAGAAACCATTCCTTTCAGTTGTCAGAAAAGAAGCTATAAAGAAGGACCAGAACAACTTTAAAGACTTGGAGGTCATCTGGACAAACGGGCTTTTAGTTATGGAGGATAAGATGAGGAAACTTCACAACAAGGTGAGCTTGGGCCCTCAGGAAAGAGACCTTAGGTTCCTTCACTCAGACGTAGAGGCATTGCTTGATATTCTTCAAGATCTCAAACAAGGAACTAGGAAGGCAGCTTCTGATCTTAGTGTACTACTCAGTGAAAGAAGCAATGTAAAGGAGACAGGAGAAATGAGTTTACATGAAAGTGATCGATATGTATTGGGAACTGGAACTGATCCAGAGCTTTTTCAACCAGACATAGGCATTCTTCCTGCTGTCGGCATACCTGGCCCAGTTTCCCATGAACCTGATTCTGTAGATGCTGCCACTGCAATGAAGGAAAAAATCTTTGAACTTCTGAGAGAGTTGGATGAATCAAAAGCAGAACGTGAAAGCCTAGCAAAGAAAATGGACCAGATGGAATGTTACTATGAAGCTCTTGTTCAAGAACTTGAGGAAAATCAAAGGCAGATGTTGGGAGAGCTGCAGAGTCTCAGAAATGAGCATTCTTCTTGTTTGTATGGGTTCCAGTCAACCAAGGCTGAGATGGAGGCTATGCACCAAGAGATGAATGAACAAATCTTGAGATGTGCAGAAGACAAGCAAGGTTTGGAATCTCTCAACAAAGAACTTGAAAGAAGGGCTACTACTGCAGAAACAGCATTGAAAAGGGCACGCCTCAATTACTCAATTGCTGTAGAACAATTACAGAAGGATCTTGAAGTGCTTTCTTTCCAGGTTTTGTCTATGTTTGCGACTCATGAGAATCTCATCAAGCAAGCTTTTGTAGATTCTCCGCCAACAAAGTTTCAAGTTTACCCAGAGATGATGCAGAATCATCAGAAACTGGAGTCAGAGGCATCTCACACCACCAAGCTCTTCCAATGCCAAAATCAGCATGTAGGAGTTAAGAAGCAGAACTCTGGAGATATCCTTCCAGAGGATTTGAAGAGATCATTCCAGTTGCAGGAAGGCATTTATCTGAAGATTGAAGAAGAGATCTGTGAAGCGCAGTATGTAAATATATGCCTAGATGTATTTTCAAACACTCTAAAAGAAACTCTGCTTGAAGCAAGTTCTGCTGTCAGGTTTATGAAGAAGAGAATAGATGAGCTTACACAGCAGCAGGAGCTTTTGGTACATTCCAAGGAGTTACTTAGTCAAAGGCTTCAAGCTGCTATGGATGACATTCATTCTCTCAATGAAGACAAGGCCATTTGTATTGCCAAGTGTAATGACATGGCTGCGCAGAAACAAATTTTAGAAGCAAATTTAGAAGATGTTACCCATGAAAACCATCACATGACACTGAAGATAAATGAACTGGAGCCGTTGATAATGGAATACAAAAATTACAAGAGCAAGTATGATTCCTGTGCTATGGAGAAGATAGAATTGGCTAATTCATTGAAGGAGGAAACCCTGGAAAAGGGTCATCTTCAGAATGATGTTTCTTCTCTGCAGGAACAGTTGAAAGAGGTAAAAACTGAGTTTGATGAATTGATTACTGTGAAGAAGGATCTGCAGAATACTCTTGACTCTCTGCAAAATAGACTGTGGAACTTACTGTCATCATATGATAAAACTTTCGATGGACTGTCTCTCTGGAGTGAATCTGCTGATCAGTATTTGGAGTCCAAAGATTTAGCAGGTGTCCTAGTGCAGTTGGAAGGGATGCAAAATAAGGCATTAGAAAAGATTCTCCAACTCTTGAAGGAGAAGAAAGATCTGATGGATGAAAGAGATAAGGCTCAAGTGTCCTTAAGCATGGTGGAGTCAGATAAGTTGGTGGTGAAACAGACTTTTGAGAATGATATAAAAATTATGGCTAATAAATTGGATGTCTACAATGTACTGTTTCAGAAGCTTCAGTTAGAAATTGATGCTGTTTCAGAAAAACTCAGGGTTAGCTCTGAGGTCGAAGAAAACCATGCACAGCAGCAGAAAGAACTTTTATCTGACCTTGAGCGTTTGGAAGTTGAACTGCAAAAGCTTACTTCTGAAAACAGAGAGATCAATCAAGAAATCTTGGTATTGGAGTCTGTCAGTCAAGAGTTAGAAAGCAACAAGCTGGCCATCACTGAACTTGAAGAGAAAAACAAAAATTTAACTCAATATTTGCAGGATAAAAGTGAGGAATCATCCAAGCTCTCATTTGAGCTTAATTGTTTGAAAGAAAGTTTGCAATGCCTGCAAGGTGAGTTACTGGCTGAGAGGAGTTCTAAAGACAAATTAGAGAGTATGGTATTGAGGCTTACTTCAGAAATGAATGAGAAGCATTGCCAGTTGATGAATTTTGATCAGCAGAAATCAGAAGTGATCCAGCTCAAGCAAATGGTATCTGAGCTAGAATCAGAGAAATCGCGGGTTTGCCTTCTGCTGCAGTCTGAGCAATGCCTTAAAAATGCTAACGAGGAATCTTCTTCTATTAATGTTCTTGAAGCTCAGCTGCCTGAAATGCTTGAACCTTCAGTAGCTGCAGATGTTTGTCTAGTTTTCATTAGAACTCAGTATGAGGCTTGCACAGAGGACCTTGTTCGACAGTTTTCCTTGTCAGAAAGTCGCCTTGCTGAGCTTCAAAGCAAGCATGTTCAAGTTGAAAGCACACTGAATGTCTGCCTTGCCCATGAATCACACTACACTGAAGAAAATAGAAAATTGTTAACAAGTCTCAACTCCCTAAAATCAGAGTTAGAAGCTGCTATTGTTGAAAACAAGACACTTCTCAATACAAACAGCAAGATTACAGCTGAGGTTGAGCAATACAGAAACAAAGTTGAAGAGATGGAACACAATCACTGTGAGGACAAAAGACAGCATGTTCTTGAAATTGAAAGGCTGAAGCATTTATTAGTCAGTTCTCAAGAAGAGATTGATGATTTGTTGGTACTGACAGAAGAATTGGAAGTCAATCTTTTAGTTCTGAAATCCAAATTGGATGAACAACATACAAAGGTAAGTTTGTTGGAAGGGTATGGTGATGAGGTAAATTTGTTGCAGAACCAGTGTAGTGTGCTTTCTCAGAGGCTCTCGGAACAGATTAGGAAGACAGAAGAGTTCAAAAATCTCTCTGTTCATTTCAAGGAGCTTAAAGAGAAGGCTGAGGAAGAAATTGCCCAGGCACGGGAGAAAAGGGAATCTGAAGGACCCCCCACTGTCATGCAAGAGACCTTGAGAATTGTATTTATCAAAGAACAGTACGAAACAAGGCTGCAAGAAATAAAACAACAGTTAGCCATCTCCAAAAAGCACAGTGAAGAGATGCTGTGGAAATTACAAGATGCTATTGATGAAATTGAAACTAGAAAGAAATCTGAAGCTTCTCACTTGAAGAAAAATGAAGAGCTAGGACTGAAGATTTTGGAATTGGAGGCTGAGTTACAGGCAGTGACTTCTGATAAACGTGAAAAAGTGAAGGCTTATGACTGGATGAAAGCTGAATTGGAATGCTCAATGATAAGCCTAGAATGCTGCAAGGAAGAAAAACAGAAACTTGAAGCTTCTTTGCAAGAATGCATGGAGGAAAAATCAAAAATTTCAGATGATTATGATATGGTAAAGCAACTGCTTGAGGCTTCTACATCACCCATAACATGTTCAAAGAGGGATCCACATCTTAGGCATTTTAGCCAAGACCTTTCAATTAAGTGTGAAGGGACAGAAAGCACAAGCTCGGTTGCAGGTGAAGGTGACTGTTCCATTGCACCCACAAATTTGCAACCTGAGGTAATTGGTAACATGTTTGTCGAAAGATCTTCTATATTACTATTCCCAAGAACAAACTAGAAGCATGAACTGTCAAAACAGTAAATACTCAAAATCCAAATTTTAAACTATTCATTCTCATTCTCTCTCTTTGTATGGTTCTGTATCTATCCAGAAACAACTTTTCATTCATATAATTGTATGGCATGGTAAATTGTTTATCCTCCTGTAGAAAATGATTTATCCTCTTGTATGACACGGTAAATTATTTATTCATATTGAAAATGGTTTATAATAATAATTTGCACAAACCATTTGCAGGATCTTTTAACCAACAATTTAAATGGAGGTCGAAGTCTTGCACTTGTGAATCAAGAGAACTTGCTGAACAGTGATGCTAAACATCTTTCTGTATACAATGATCAAGCCCAGAGTTTAAGGTCTAGCATGGACCATCTAAACAATGAGGTGTGATTATCTTTTGAGTGAATACTAGTCTTCCAATTTTGTGCTTAAGGAAATATAAGTTAGTTTTGATTCATGAATTGCTTTGTTAGATTTGTAGTGGTGATCTAATTTGCTCTTATCATGTGCTCCTAGCTGGAAAGGATGAAAAATGAGAATTTGCTTCTTTCACAAGAAGATCATCAATTTGGTTCAAAGTTTCCAGATTTACAAAGAGAATTGATGCAGTTGCATAAGGTTAACTAATTTAAACCTCAAATTGTAGTATAGCTACAAATAATTAATACCCTTCAACAAGACCCTTACTCCACTTTGTGCAGGTGAATGAAGAATTGGGGACAATATATCCTCTATTTAATGAATATTCAGGAACTGGAAATGCATTGGAAAGGGTACTTGCTTTGGAAATTGAGCTTGCTGGTGCCTTACAAAACAAGAGGAAATCAAGCATCAATTTTCAGAGGTATGTCATCTCTACATCATTTATGTACAGGGTATTATTGAATTAATGTTTGAACTCAAAATGTTAGAAGTTCCACCTTAGAAAGCCTAGAGTAGATGAAGATAGTTCTCATCCTCACACCAAGTACCTTGAAGCTCCTGACTGTGGAAGACCCCAAGGAGAGTTAGTTTGAAGTTTGAGCATGTATAGATAGAAAGAAGGGGATGACAAGAACAGAAATCTGGCATGGGAAACTATTCCACATTTACTTCGGGCAATTTCTTGACACATTCATTGCTCTTGATGTCTGGGTGGTAGAGCCTGCTTTTGAACCATATTTGGATAAACACTAACATCTAATAAAATCTGACATGATATTCTCTCCTTGTCCAGCTCATTCTTGAAACAGCACAATGACGAGGAAGCAATTTTCAAAAGCTTTAGTGACATAAATGAGCTAATCAAGGACATGTTGGAGCTCAAAAAAGGATACGCTTCAGTTGAAACTGAACTGAAAGAAATGCATAGTCGTTACTCTCAGCTAAGCCTTCAATTTGCAGAGGTTGAAGGAGAGAGACAGAAACTCATGATGACTCTAAAAAGTGTTAGGGCAGCCAGGAAGAGCCAGCACCTGATTCGATCCTCATCCACTACAGTGGGAGACCAGTCTTGAGCTACAAGAACAAGTCGGGCAATAATGTCTTGTTTGCGCATCCCAGGACTGACGCCTTACAGAAGTTAAAGCAAATGCCTTTGCCTTCTGCATTGCTAAATTATTGGATTGCAAGTATATCCGGAAGCTATTGAGCTACTGCAAGATACAAAATTTTCGACCTCAGTGTAGGAGCCAAAAGCTAAGCAGCTGTATTTATGTAAATAAATCTATGTTTCCGATTCTTCTTCACTGGTTATTAGTAGCAGAAGGAATAGATAACTGGAGCACTCTGACCCTTTTTTGGTCTTGGTCTTGTTGTGTAATTCTTCTATTGTATAGGAAATCAAATTCTTTAATTGATGAAATCATTTTTATTCACTACAAAAAGCGACCACAATGATGAATTTATATATATATATATATGAAAATAGTGTCTATCAGTCTTACCTTTTAAAAATTATGAAAAAAATTATTTCAAAACTAAGTTGTTTTCAATAAATTTTTATTGAAAAAGATTAAATTATCTTATTTTTAAAGCATGCATTAAGATAAATTTTGTCTTTTCTTCTCTTAATTTTTTAAAGGTAAAACGGATAAGCACTAACCTTTATATATGTATATAAATCTTTTAAAAATTTTACGAGTTGATAAAATGAATCAAGTTAGAAACCTAATAACAGAAGATTTATTGCAAAGACATGTTTGGAGCTCAGTTTTTAGAAGCTGAAAACAGCCTTTAGGGAGACCGAAAAAAAAAAAAATTGTTCTACAATTCAAAATTCTTTAAAAAAAATAAATGACATTTTCTTATGAAAATTGTTGTTTTGCTTAGTTTTAGCATTTATAATAGAAAATACCTATCAATCTAATGGTAAAGTTACTTTTACTTTTAATCATAGGTCAAAAATTTAGTCCCACTCTCTATATGCCAAAAGAAAATTTATAATAGAAAAAATCATTTTGGAAGCTAAACCACATAAAATCATCATCGATACAAAACCTTCATCACAAAAGTAGAACGCTTTCCCTGAGAGAAAGGGCACAATCACATGGAGGTGGTAATAAGTAACACGTAAAAAAAAATGGGGCCAATCCCTTCTTTATAGTATATGTGAAAGTGAAAAAGTGCACATTTTCTCAGCAGTCTGATAAAAACAAACAAAATAATCTCCTATAAGAAATTTTGTGTGTCCCTTTTCCTTTCCATTGTTTCTTGCACCATAACCTTTCATACTCAACAGTTCTACCTCCTGGTTTGTTTCAAAATAAAAGGACAAACAGGCTTTTTGATTAAGAAAAACTTATCTCCTGTTTTTGCTGCCAGCTGAAACTGAACTATATATTTTGATACATTAAGTGGAAAAGAATTTCATATTAATAACGATATAAGAAGCGCACACAGAAGGATGTAAACATCAACCACAATAATCATTGGCACTCTTCCATCAAACAGCTATAGGATTGAGCACAAACAGCGACTAGTCTTTGGAGCATCATTCTGCAGTTTATCTGTAGCAAAATTTTTCAAGGGTCAGTTTTTAAGAAAGGAGATTTGTTTTATTGTCCTTAAAATCTCAGCTTGTATATGCACAAAACAGTTTATAATGTAAATATGTGGCTGAAATCCTCAAGAACTATAGCATGCTGACGGAAATGGAACTGAGGAAACATTATGGCACAAGAAGATGGTTTTGGGATATTGAGCTTATCATTCACAGTTTTCCAAAGGGCTGATCATGCTTATACCAAATAGTAGCTAGTACTCAAAAAATAAATGTCCCTATTCATGAAGAATGAAGTTTGCACAAAAAAAGGATCAAATAGGAAAGAAACCAGCCATAAGCAATGAGATTAGGGGGAAAAAAAAAGACCTAACCGAGATTGTTTGTGGATTCTAACTTGAAAGTAGTGAACTCCATAAGAAACCATCAGACTTAACAGAATCACCAAATCAGAAAAGATTGGATTTGGTGAACAAAAATTAGTTAGAAGGTTGCTTATGAATAATTATCAGTATTACTTTGTTATTCCTACCACCATACAGATCTCTAGTTGGTCAGCTGAAATGCATAATGTGCTTTAACCCCAATTTCCCTTTTTACCCAGTGAATCAGATGTAACTCGCTATGAATTACCGCTGTTTTTGCTGGTCACAGGAAGACGAAGAACAACAAGCATGGTAATTACAGCTCCAGGAAGTTCACCAACTGGGAGTCTGCACTCAGCTAGTGTCCTGTTATTCTCAAGAATCTTCCCAGCGTTAATCAGCTTCACATCATGTATTGTTTTTGGACCATTTTCTTTGTCTACCAAATAAAACAGCATTCCATGAGAAATTAACCCAAAAAGAAAGAAGTCAGCTGAATAACAAAAGACACAATAATATCAAATAAGTAAATTAAAATATAAGGTAGAGATTCTCTTTCCTAGAGGCAATGGTTTAGGGGAAAAGGATATAGAAAGGGTAGGTTAGAAGGAGAAAAGCTTTGGCTTTGGTACTGCAGAGCAGCCAAGGAAAAGATTAAAGAACAAGAAGTTAAAAGAAAGATGAGAGGAAATTAGAATAAATCATACATACTGCTAGATAGCTTGGCTAAATAACCAACGTTTTAAAATTTGTTCTACAGAAACAATTCAACCATTTATGCGCTATCCTCAATCTATTTGCCTCTGATGTAAAGAGAAGAAAACAGAAGAAAACCACCATGTATTATAACAAAACCAGACAAGTAGTTTCCATCAAATTTTTTCAACTTGGAAAGGACGGAACACCATCAAAATCTATAACCAGAAGACATCAACAAACCCAACTGAATTTCTAGATATAAAATAAAAGAGGAGAATCTCTAGATATAGATGATTTTGGCTATGAAAGAACAAACAAAAAAAATTCATGAAAAAGTGAAGTTCTAAAACCTTGTGGCCACTGAGCAAGAATTTTCTCTTTCAGAGATGCCACAGTTGTAGCTGGAGTATGCTTGGTTGGACCGATGTCAGTTCCATCTGCAAGCCTGAATTTGATCTCTATCAAATCTTCTCCTGCCATCAATGAATCTCTGACCAAAAACCCACCTCAAATCCTCATGCTAATCTACAAAACCCAGCTTAATTGATAGTATGATTCAACAAATCTTCACTAGAACACTCTTCTGCAATACCCCAGAAGAAACTATTAAGAACCCAGATCATCTTCTGCAATATGTCTCAGAAAGGAGAAAAAATAAAACTTGAAATCACTATAAAAAATGATAATATTAAGATCCCAGATCATCCTTTGCAATATCTCCCAAACAAATTCATTGGAACTCTACGAAAGAAACAAAATTCAGTCATTTGAAAACTAACCCAAGAACTGTGACTGATGCCAATTCTACTTTATCAAGGCAGGGGATAAGAAAGAAACATGGTGATGCATTTCTTGGTGTAGAAATAAAGGAAGAAACGAGAAAGAAAGAACCCAAAATGGGATCTTTTCAGTTCAAGTTAGAATTTTACCTGAATCAAACTGAAAATCTAATGATAAGGAAAGGGACATTTTACATGAGTATCTTATATCTTCCCTTTCAATTACTCAATCACCCACTATATAATATAATTCCTTAAAAGATGACAGAATCAAAAAACTTTCTTGAATTTCTTGCTTCTCTCAAGTAATCTCAACTAATTTCCTCAAGAGGGTAGTTTAAGAAAAACAGCAAACAAAAGGACAAATAAGTATGTGTTACCTCTGGAAACTGACCTAACAGCTAACATGGGATGGCAAAAATTTTTTATCAAACATTTATTAGTGAAAATTGGTTCATTTTCAGCTCCAAATGGGCAAGAAGAAGCTGTTGACACAAGCACCTGTTTGGCTGTTTCTTAGAAACTGGAAAAGCCTGTTAACTCTGGAAAAAGGCTCATTGCACCCTCAAACTTTGATGCAAGTGACAACTGCATCCTTCAAACATTGTCTCCGCCAATTTCACCCTTTAACTTTTGATTTTTGACAAATTTTTTAGCCGAATAGATGGAAACACCTTGAGTGACCTTTGAAGTTTAAGAGCTACACATGGTCAAAAATTGGAAGTTCAAGCTAAATAATTTTTTCGGATGGTGAAATTATCAGTCATGCCAAAATTCAAGGGGGGATTGAAGCATTTTCCCCCCTTCTCCTGTTCCTTGGTAATAATAAGAATCTTTATGTTTCTTAATTCAAAAATGATTCTTTCTTGTTGGTATAATGGCATATGCATATGCTTGATGTTTTAGCAATAACTGAGAACAACCCTTGACTTGCTGCTTCCTGCTTGCGATGGTGACATCAGAATATAGCAATTATTTTATTTATGAAGAGAATCCTGTTATTCTAAGATGGCAGTTGCCCCAAACCCCCTCAATAAAAGATGGCAGTTGCCCAGCTTCTCAAGAAACCAGATATGTAGAACCAAACTCTCTAAAAGTGATTAAGATCTTGAGACAGGTTGAAGAAAGTTTGGGAAGAAAAGAACCATCCAAGTTATTTAAAAAAAAAAAAAAAGTTTTACACATCATTTTGAATTTATTAAAATTATTTTAATAAAATTATTTTAGTGTCATTTCATTAATGATAATTTAATCATTTTAGTACCAAAATTGTATTTTTAATATATAATTTGATATCTAAAACATGAATATCTTAAAAGATTATATACATTATGAATTTATTAATAATATGTTAGTACGAGTGAAAAAAATTTAATTTTTTTTAAGTAAAATTTTGAATTCGAACATTGTGAATGAAAAACAAATATTAAAAGAGTTTTTTACGATTAGATTTCAAATTAGTAAATATAATTATTATATACCAAGAGATTAATAAAAAATATATATATTATGAATTCACCGGAGGAGGAGAAACTAACAAGATTTTGAGATTGAATGTTGATCAGGCTTAATAGTTGGAGTGGTTGGCAGTTTCTTAAGGTGCAGTACGATTGGCAGTCTAACCTGCAACAAACAAATTCAGTCTTTGCATCTAAGTCATGGAAGGCCAACCACCAATCTCATCACGAAATTATCATTTTAAAGCAGAAAAGAAAACAAAATCATGCCGGCTGAGACGGAAAGGATTCAACTTTTGAATCTACGCTGATTGAACTTGAAACAGACAGAAATTAATAATATAAATCAGAGGAAGCCCCCACAAGCGTCAACTTTCCATTCAGATTACATTATTGATAAATTTCTGATTGCTAATGAT